TGCGGTGCACTGTGTTGGTGCCGTGTCCCTCTCGCTCTCTCTGTGTGTGTGCCACCTGCTGTGCTCCTCCTCTCCCCCGCAGACACAGGTGGTCCCAGGCTACATTGACGCTGATGCTGCGCCAGGTGCTGTGCGTGCTGGCCCTCGCGCTGTTCTGTGCGTCCCTGTGCGTGGCTGCAACTGGTGATGCAGAAGCTCCACCTTCGCAGGTTGCGGAGGGGCAAGTGGAGGGCGCAGCAACTCTTGCTCTGGAGGCCGCTGCAGCGGAGGCGAAAAAGGCCACAGCGGCGGCGATCGCACTTGATGCACAGATGAAGGAGGCGGTGAAGGTAATGGAGGCTGCAGAGAGTGCCTTGAACGGGATTGATGTAGAAGCCGCAGAAAAAGCAGTTAAAGAGGCAATAACAAAAGTGAAAGAGCCAGAGCCGCCACAAAATAACGCACGAGAGAGGCTTNGAAGCCGCAGAAAAAGCAGTTAAAGAGGCAATAACAAAAGTGAAAGAGCCAGAGCCGCCACAAAATAACGCACGAGAGAGGCTTGTCTCGTTGATAAAAAAAGCATCTGAGGCTGAGAAAATGAAAAATCTCATATCTGCCTCGTTTCGAGCGAAGTGGGAACTTGAGCTGTTGGTGAAAGAGACCAAAGAGGCCAAAAAGGCCAACGATGCTGCTTTGGCTGCCGCTGCAGAAGCGAAGGTGATGGCGGAGAAGGCGGGGGCTGCGGGAGCGGGATTTGGGGATGCTGCTGCAAAGGCTGCTGGGGCGGAGACATTATTCACCGGCGCAGCGGGGAGCGCTTTGAGCATAATAGACACCGCAAACAGCGCCGTCAACCTCGCCATGAACGCAGCGGTGAGTGCCCGAAATGCCTATGCCNTTGGGGATGCTGCTGCAAAGGCTGCTGGGGCGGAGACATTATTCACCGGCGCAGCGGGGAGCGCTTTGAGCATAATAAACACCGCAAACAGCGCCGTCAACCTCGCCATGAACGCAGCGGTGAGTGCCCGAAATGCCTATGCCTTAGTCTTGTTTGCGTCAGAAGATGGGGCTTCAGATGCCTCCACCAAAGAAAGGATCACGGCTGCAAAGGAGAAAATGAAGGAAGCAGAGAAGATAAAGGAGGCAATGGAGAAGATGAAGGGGGCAGCGAATACGCTAAAAGAGGCAGGGGAGAAGATGAAGGAAGCAGAGAATACGCTAAAGGAGGCAGTGGAGAAAATTAAGGAAGCAGGGAAGGCTGTTGTGCCAGTGCAGGAGAAAGCTAAACCAGCAGCCGCGGTAAAGCTGGCAGACGCGAAAAATGCCTTAGGCGCGGCGAAGGCGGCTGAAGACCCGCTGAGCCGGAAAGCAGAAAAGAAGCCAACTGAGGATGGTGCCAGACAGGAAGACAAAAGCGGTGTGCAGCCAGAATCTGTGGATGCGACAGAGACAGCAGCGGAATCAACGAGCAGTGATGCCCTTCCTACCACAGCTGAGGGTGTTGTGCATGCGGCGGAGCCCACAAACACTGCCGCTGCCGATTCCGTCACGCCTACAGTTCCCTCAATAACAACAACAACAACAACCGATGTGACTACTCCTCTGG